TGTGCCAATATTAGAGGTAAATAAATCAGGGAAAATGTGGCAGGTATATGGCTATTTTTAATTTTTGTTTCATACCATCTTGATTCTTAAATTAGCTATTTTCATATTATTAGTGCTTTTGTATTCAACTCTGACTTGTCATAAGAAATGCAATATCATAAATTGTGTAGTACCTCTCAAACTTTAAGCATTGCCAAAATTGTCTTGAATTCTGTGGATATACACATTTAAATTAATCCAGATATCAGATCCCAGGGGGAAATGAATGGCAAAGTAATGATCAGGGGGTTTTAATTCTGAGTATACTCCTTTTTATCACCTGCTGGTAGAGTTATTCTCCTCGGTGACTTTCAGTGGCCTGGACTTCACACTTCCTTTTCCTTCTCCATGGGTGGAGGTGTATTTACTTACTGACGAGTTTCTTGTCAGGTGAAGACCATTTCATATTTGGTCTGTTGCTGTTTGGTTATCTTCATTAACTCTTCATTCTAATACCGACTGTATTAAATTGTTACAAAAAGAAAGGGAAGTAAAATTGCACATTTGAAGCTCATGATAAGATGTAAGCAATGGCACCTGGCAGTAGCATGGCGCAAAGTTGCAAGAATGCATACATAATGATGCCCTTGCGTAAATGTTGGAAATTAATTCAGAAGACACTTGAAACAGTGTTATTAACAGGTTCCAGAACTGTTCCCCCCAAACCAAACCCGTTGCTGTCAATTCGATTCATAGTGGCCCTGTAGAATAGAGTAGAACTGCCCCCTAGGGTTTCCAAGGCTGTAATCTTGGAAACAAATTGCCACATGTTTCTCCCGAGGAGCAGCTGGTGGGTTTCAGCCGGGGACCTGTTGGTTAGCAGCTGAACACTTAACCGCTGTGCAACCAGGGCTCCTTCCAGAATTGTTCCAGGGTAAAATTAGTTATTCCATTTTTTGGTCCTTGTCTCTCTCTCTCTGTCTGTCTCTCGGTCTCTGTCTCACCCCCTCCCCTCCCTTGAACTTGCTAGAATACTTGATGCTTTGACAGAACTTTTCAAAGATTGAGAAAAAAATATCCTAGAACATTTACTATAATATAGTCACATAAATGGAGGAGGAAAGATGGTTGGCTTCTGTGTCTGCAACGGTTAGTGGTGAACATATTTCCTCCCCTAGGAAGTGACAGGTTTTAGATGTTCAAGATACTATGAAGCAAAGCTAGTATAAAACCCATTGCCGTGGAGTGGATTCCGACTCATAGCGACCCTGTAGGACAGAGTAGCACTGCCCCATAGGGTTTCCAAGGAGCAGCTGGTGGATTCGAACTGCCGACCTTTTGGTTGGCATGCGCGCTCTTAACCACTGTGCCACCAGGGCTCCAAAGTTAGTATACACTACTAAAATCCCAACTAAGCCCCATCCCCCCAATATGTAATTGTGCAGAAGGAGGGTTATTATACACCAAGGTACCGAAATAATTCATAATCACTGGATATATTTTTCCACTTGTATCAAAAGATTAAGTTAATAACCATGCATTAGAATGTGTGATAACTGAGTACCCCATATTTTTCACCATTTAACCTTAAATATGCTTTTACTAATTTATGAATAGAGCATTGGGTCTAGACATGTCCTGACTGATCCCCACCCTCTTTTCTGATCTTAGTCCAACTAGCACACATTTAAGAGCAGTGAATCAGGCTCCACTGTACTTCGCACTGAAGACACAAAGTTTTCTCAGTGTAAATTACATAACCCGTAAGTTTTACTTCTTTAGCACCATGTTCCAACCACCTTAGCTCATGGTCCATGGGCCTCACGTGGACACTAGAAAGTAAGTAAAAAGAATTATGTTTGATATGTTGCAATGTGCATTTTAAAAACCTAAGGTATTTTATACTCCTCCTTCTCTGGCTGCACAACATGACAATTGGGAATATAGAAAAAATACCACAAAACTGTATGACATAAATGTAATAAGTTTTTATATAATCACATAAATATGTGGAGCTATCCTCGATCAGTTAGTTGAAACTTACTTTCCACCCAAAAATATCTTTTATAAACCATATGTGTAATGGTGCAGACTTCTAATAAAAAATCATGATCAGTAGGCTCAATTTAATAGGGAGAAAGGATGCAAAGTAAGAAGGGAACTAATATTTATGGGTCATGCAGTTTGTCTACATAATGCTTTTTAATATTCAAGCTAAAGTCACGGGTAGAGGTTATTAGCCTGACATCACAGATGAGTAAAACGAAAGAAAAAACAGACGTACAAAGAAGTTCAGCAAATTACCCAGAACTAAAGCCAGTGTGTGACAGAACCAGAACTAAAACTCAGGTTTGTCTAAAATCAAAAAGTGACCCTAGGGTGTTCACAACCATGCTGCCTCCCAGTAGAAGCCGTAGAAGCAAAGGCAGATAAAATACAGGTACAAAAATTTAAACTGTATATGATAAGTCAATAGGTGTATTTGCGATTTGTACTGTATTTAGTGTTTATTGTAGACTGAATTTGCTATGACTTGAATATACAATTTTAAATTGCTTGCTTTTCTATCCAATGCAGATTATTCCAGATAATGGTAATAACCATAATTGTTTCCATGTGACTTTTTTTCTCATAAAAATACTGGCATATTTATGAGACTCAGGCATAATATATTTTTCCTGAGTTTGAATTTAGAAGGAAAATGTTATTTCTTTATGAATAAATAATTCCCGTATTGGTTGCTGTTTATTGTGACTCAGAAATTATAAAGCACTTCCTACGAACCATTGAAGCTCTGGTAGCGCCGTGGTTAAGAGCTCAGTCTGCTAACAAAATGGTCAGCAGTTTGAATATACCAGCTGCTCTTTGGAAACCCTATGGGGCAGTTTCACTCTGTCCTGTAGGGTTGCTATGAGTCAACACTGACTCGACGGCAACAGGTTTAATTTTGGTTTATGAAACATTATATTTAGAATTTGAGCAACCGTCTGTATTTATAAGATTATCCTGAGCTACAAAACAAATCAAAATACTATGAGATGCAAATGATTCGATGCATCTAAAAAAATAAACCAACTGCCTTTAAGTCGATTCCACTCATGTCTTCCTCATGCATTTCAGAGTAGTAGCGCACTCCGTAGGGTTTGTGTCATGGCTGTGATCCAGAAGTAGATCACCAGGCCTTTCTTCCAAGGCACCTCTGTGTGGGTTCGAGCCACCAACCTTTTGGTTAGTAACCAGCACTTAACTAGTTGCACCACCTAGGAACTCCTTGGTTCATCTCCATGGTATGTATTTATTTTCATTATTTAATACAACTGGTCCCTATGTTCTATCTCATTTTTCATGTTCCCTAAACATCTGTATTATCACTCTACTTTCTCTCCACTTGTTCTGTAGAAACAAGTGCCATTGCTTTCATCCTCTCTTTCTGCACTGAAGTCTTTAGAGTATTGTTCTCCTTACCTCTATTTTACATTATACACTTCCACTGTACTGCATTCTTCACAAAGTCTCACGTGCTGCATCTGGTCTTATTTGTGATGTACGGAAGTGGCCATATTCCTGGAGCCAACAGGATACACTTTTGGCAATGGCCACACATCATCATAAATAAGGGAACTCGTGTGGACTGTAAGCTTGAGGTTTCTTGGATAGGGAAGGTGCTCATCTTCTACAATATTTTGTGTTAATACGAGTCTTCTTTATGCATGATAAATACATAAATGAATGTGATTTTAAAGAATCTAGAAAAACCAATCTTCTAGTCTTTGGCACTTTGTATCCTGGATGTTTCTAATTTTCTTAAAGTGCCTTACAACTTTGAGAAATAAAGCTACAACCAAATCATAGCACCGTTACATATCAACCTTCAGTTCTTTCAGTGCAATGTAACATCGCTGATAACATCCTTCCGAACAGATTTTATACCATAACAGTTCACAATACCAAATGGCTTCAAAATTACTGAGATAAAAACTAAAAATATTGACTTTACTCATCTCGCTTTTTTTTTAGGTTTTGATTTCTGCATATCCATGTGAATGATCTTATGGTTGAGAAATGCGCTTAAAGACTGCAAGGTCCAGTTATCTGTAGTCATTTGTCATTATAATTATATAAAAGTAGTCATTACAATTGTTGCATAATAAAAATCATAAACCCTCCTTATTGATACCTTGAAAAATGGGTAATTTGCTGAGCTCACTTCATTTTTTATAGTTCTGCTTTACTCTGCTATCCATTTTTTGTACATTCTATAGATTTTAGCTCTTT